CACATATGTTTTATTTTTGTCCCCAGTATGTTAAATACATCAAATAAACAAGAACTGTGCATTAAAATGTGCAGTGCTCTCTATAGAGGATGTGTTCACTTATTTTTATATAGAAAATCAACAATAACATGCCACTTGACCAGGGGCGCCCAAACTTTTGCACACGACCGTATCTTCAGTAAAGCCGAACGATATTAAAATCAGCTGTGCTTTATTGATTGATATGAATGTTAGTTTGTCAACTGCGACTTGATTTTCAGCTCTCAAACAGCAGCAACTCATAAAGTCTTAAATAATATCAATATTAAACAAACCACTCATAAATGACTTTCATAACCTAACCTTATAACTTCAGTTTGAGGTTGTACTTGTTGTGTTATGTAATATTTTATATTGCAGGATTATATCTCTCATCCTCATCAGTTCGACAGAATTCACAATTTTATATAGTTTTCATGTTTTGTCAGTGTTCTGTAAGGATTGGGGTTCATAGGCAGGCTGCATGTGCAGAGTAGCTTTATTAGGGCACGTCCAGTGCTCACGGTCATCCCAGGCAGGGGTCAGAAAACAGGCAGGCAGGTACACACAAGGCAAATCCATTATCAAAAACCAGGAAACAAAGCCCAAGAAAACGCATAAACCATGTTTAACCTCTTAAATGGTCAGGGCCGCCAGCAGGCCCAATGTTTTATTACACACTTCTATAACCTAAGAATAGCTCAGCCAGTTTGCACTGAAGTCCTTGTAGTTACTGAATAATATGCCTTAGTATGTAATAAGACTGGGATTTTAAGCTGTTAAACAACAAACACAGCAGCTGAAATGATCCCCTAACCACTGTACTGTACTTTCTACATTAGAACATCTGGATTACAGTAAGAACACTGCTATAAGGAATAGAAATTTGCGATGGTAGTAAAGTTTCGGACACTGCTTCATGTGGCTTTGCTCATTACTGTGCGATTCCTTTGCATAAACACTGCAAATGTAATGTTTTTGCGATTGGCCAAACAATGTATAGGTCAGGCCCCAATCTGTGTTCATATGTGAGCAGACCATAGCTGTGGCCTTGGCCATCCAAGGCCCCAGAGTTCCCAGTTCACTCTGCTTTTGTGAGAGGTCTGGGTCTAAGACCTTCACACGCTCGCTCTCTCTTTCCAGCTGTGATTTTTACTTTCCTTGATCAATGAAATTTCACAGGCGGAAATGACATCTGGCCAGTGATTTTTCAGATGCATAACATATTGGAAGGATATGGACATTATAAGGACTCAAAACTTGTGATGCACTGCAAAAAATAGCATCTTGTCAAGTGAAATTATCTTAATTCTCATCGAAACATCTAATATTTCTTATTTTGAGATGGTTGTGTGCTTATTTTAAGATTAGCTAGCTTATCTCTAGACATTTTTACCTGCTTTTAAGTAATTTTAATAAGTACAATTATCTCACCATACTGGCAGATAATTTAGCTGGTTTCAAGCACATTTCCTACAACAAGCAAAATTGTCTGCCAATATATTGAGATCATTAACCCTCTATTGCACAATGTTGCCTCAGGGCAACAAACCCATTTTCCTTACTTTACAATAACATTATCCTTATTTAAAGACAACGACAGGGTTAACAATAAAGGGAGGAGTTTGAGTATGTCAATAAAAAGCATGTTCTTGGTCATACTGTCTCTCAGTGAGCACTTTTAAACCGCTTCTTTTAATATTCAGCATATTTGTTTTGTTACGAGAACTTGCAGAAATATGTTTGTTGCCTAGAAGCAACATGGTGCTACAGTGGAATGGATTTGACCAGTCACAAGCCAGGTCTCACCACTTCAGGGAACACGGCTGTATTTCATTTCTTCCCATTGTCGCACATTGTTGCCTCAAGGCAACATACCCCAAAATGACCCCTGCACACATTATTTTAATTTTTTTTTGAAATTTAATAATCAGATACATTTTATGCAAGAAAGGTGAACCAAATATATATATTTTAAATTGCTGTCATAACACGTGCAGTAGAGGGTTAAAATAAGCTTACAACACTCTCAACAGGAGAGATATTGTATATATTGACTAGATTTAGGATAATTTTACTTGACAAGATACTATTTTTTGCAGTGTGGTAGCAAACAATTGAGTTTGACCGCACACATGAGAAGATCCGACTTACATCTGTAACAGGTCTATAGGGAGCTCTGTGGAGATGCTGCCATTGTAGCTGGGCTCGCTAATCGTACTCAGAGAAGCTGCATGTGAATCTTTAAACCAACCAATGCAGTGCATTATGGGTATCCCCTATCCCCTAGGGATCACAGAAGAAGACGTGACGTAAACATAACGTAAAACTCAAACTTCACGCTGCGGCTTTTTTTTAAACATCGCATCACTTTACCTGAAAATATGAACAAACATCATCTAGAAGATGAAGAATATTCATATCCTTTATTTCATGTTAGGTTTCAGTGCCACTCCAAAAGCGCTACGTCTCACGACATCCACCGTCTGATCTCACGCATGCGCAGACTGAGAAATCCGATAGAAATCGGAGTAAGAGTTTACATGCGCTGAGAAATCAGATTATTGAGCTAAAATCCAGCTCTCTTCATCGGATTTCTTAATCAGATTACTAGATCGGAGTATGGTGTTTACATGACCATTTGAATAATCAGATAACTGCAGAAATCTGATTATGATCGGATTATTGAGTGCATGTACACGCACTCAATGTATCGGTCAGGCCCTAATCTGTGAGCAGACCATAACTGTGGCCTGCACTTAACCTAGCAGGCATGTGATGGAGAGATGGAGGTGGAGATATGGTTCTCCAGGGGCTCTCAGGAGGTGTTTTGAAACAACCTTGGCCATCCAAGGCCCCAAAGTTACCAGTCCACTCTGCTTTTATGAGGGGTCTGGGTCTAAGACCTTCACACACTCGCTCTCTCTTTCCTAGCTGTGTTTTTACTTTCCTTGATAAATGAAATTTCACAGGCAGAAAGTTTTTTTGTCCCGTCAGTAATTTTTCAGACATATCTTCTCTTACACTGTAATAAAAAATATCAAAGTATGTTGATTTTTTCATGTATTGTCAGTTCAGGTCCCCTCACATCTATTTTCTAAAGGTTAGCAACTTTAATGAAGGCGTAGCTCCGCCCACACTCGGATAAGTGACTGAAAAGCTTGTTTTTGTGGAATCTAAATAGAATATTCAAATATATCTTTTTTCGTACTAATGTCAGCAGAAATCACACAAAAGGTGCATGTTTTCTGAGGCTGCGCTGGCTAATGCAGTTCTGAGGCTGATTCTTCAAATGTTTTTTTTTTTCTGAGAATCAGCTTTTCTCTACATTTGAAATGAAAAAAAAATCTCAGTTTCTAGAAAAACTGCATTCATGAAGCTGTACGTGTTCATTTTCTAACCCTATTCTGAAAGACATTGCTGCATTTACGGTAGATTTTGTGCTACAGAATGACCTGACATACACTTTATAAGAGCAGTACTCTGTGTTTTCTTGATTAAACAATAAAACGATGAGATTTCCATAACCTGTTGTGCAAAATCAGTGTGTCTTCACAATGAAATGAAAATTTTAAATCCAACGTCATCCAAAGGCTACATTTGTGGTTTTATGTCACCAAAAAAAAAAACTATTTTAGGTACTGTGCCTTTAAGACCGATATATGCAAATTAACTCTCCTCTGATTGGTGGCCCTGTATTGCGCCTCATTCAGAAAGCAATCTGGACTGCAACACTCCTTATAACTTCAATGTGAGTGCGCAGTAACACTGACGTGGTGGTGGTGTGTTAGTGTGTGTTGTGCCAGTCTGAGTGGATCAGACACAGCAGTGCTGGAGTTTTTAAACACTGTGTCCACTCACTGTCCACTCTGTTAGACACTCCTGTCTTGTCAGTCCTGCTTGTAGATGTAAAGTCAGAGACGATAGCTCATCTGCTGCTGCACAGTTTGTGTTGGTCATCCTCTAGTCCTTCATCAGTGGTCACAGGACGCTGCCCACAGGACGCTGTTGGCTGGATGTTTTTGGTTGGTGGACTATTCTCAGTCCAGCAGTGACACTGAGGTGTTTAAAAACTCAAGCAGCACTGCTGTGTCTGATCCACTCAGACCAGCGCAACACACCACCACCACGTCAGTGTTACTGCAGTGCTGAGAATGATCCACCACCCAAATAGTACCTGCTCTGTGAGGGGTCCATGGGGGTCCTGACCACTGAAGAACAGGGTAAAAGGGGGCTAACAAAGTATCAGAGAAACAGATGGACTACAGTCTGTAATTGTAGAACTACAAAGTGCACCTATATAGTAAGTGGAGCTGATAAAATGGACAATGAGCGTAGAAACAAGGAGGTGGTCATAATGTTATGCTTCAGAACCTTAAACATATCTACATAACTCATATCAAAAAGCGAAGGAAAATTCATTTTTCCATGATATGGGCCCTTTAAAGTCTGAGCTGAGGTCATGAGATGAGTCGTGCTCTGTGGGTTCTTGCCATTAATATGTGGAACTTGTTAAGAAAAGGCTGCAACATGGTGATAAAAGTATTAAGGAAAGAAAACATTTGGAATATGATCTGCTTGAAAACACAAACTAATCATATCGGATTTGCATTGATTATGTTTGCAATGAAAAAGAACCGTGACTGAAGAGAACAGTCCATGGCTGGGGAGCATTTTGTTGGTGGTATGTGATCAGAACCGATGTGTGTAGCGTGTCTGGGCCTGTTGCAGTCTCAGATTGGCTTTCTTCTGCCCTCACAGTGTGTGGCCCATAGGCTGTTTTGGAACTTCACATAAGTAGATTAACTAGAATTGCCTGTTGACAAAATTGAAGCCAAGATGACAAAGGAAGGCTCTGAGCGGAACATGGCTGTGTTCATTCTGAGGCTTGTGTTTGATCAGATCGGCTAATTCGGGCCTTTCATGTGTGCGAATTAAAAGACCCTCTCTACTCACAGCTGCTTTCTCAATTTGTTATTCAGGGATGCCGAGACATTTTTGCTCGACTCAAAGAAAGTCCGCGCCTCAGATGGAGGATGGCTGGTGTTTGACATCACAGCTACCAGTAACCACTGGGTGCTGAACCCTCAGCAGAACATGGGCCTTCAACTCTGCGTGGAAACCATGGACGGTGAGCATGTCATCAGTTATCAGATCGTTGGCAAGGCATGCTAGTTACTAATGCCATGTGACTGATACGCGTTATATAAACTCAGCTTTGAATTGTTTTATATTACTGTGCAAAAGTCAGAGACCATTACCTTTATTTATTTAATTTTCTGTCTTGATGATATTAAGTTATTCAGGGAAAAGGCAGAAAACATATTGTAGCATCAGCAAAAGGAGAAACACATGCTTAGCCATAATTCTGCTACAAGAAGTGATCTTTATTAAACACACCGACATAAAGGGGCACATACAGAACACTCAACTCAGGGGGGAGGTCACCTTTAGCTACACACTTCACCCCTACAGTGACCCCCACCACACACACAAAACCTACAGCCCCGACACAAAATAACACAATAACGTACACATGCCTTAAAGTGCTAGCGCCAGCCGGTAGCAGGATGCACCTCTGACCCACCACTCGCTCTGCTGGCCTCACCGTTGTGCCTTGCAGCATCAACCTCACTGCCGAGCCTCCTTACACCGTCCCCATTGTAGGGTCTATCCAGTGCCTACTCAGGCCTCCAGTCTTCCCTTTGGAGCCTTGCAGCATCTTCCTTGTCGTCACTGTCTCTCACCGGTCTTTGCTCTTCTCGTCATCTGTCTTTGAGCTCGGAGTAGTGCCATTCTCCTCCAGATCACCTCTGACACCAGTGTAGCATTAGCATTGAAACACAGGGGCAGCCATGATTCTGCTGCAAGAAGTGCGCATTGTTGAACACGCCGGCAGAAGGAGGCACAAGACATCACAGTGAACTCACGGGGGAGGGTACCTTGAGCCACACACAGATCCCCCTACACACAAAACCCCCAGCCCCGGACATTAAATCACACAAAGAACATGTACACATCACTTAATGAAATGAAATGAAATGAACCTTTTAGCCAACTGTGTCTGAACACATCGGAATTAGACCTCCGCATTTGACCCATCCGTGCAGTGAAACACCACATACACACTAGTGAACACACACACACTAGGGGGCAGTGAGCACACTTGCCACGAGCGGTGGGCAGCCCTATCCACGGCGCCCGGGAGCAGTTGGGGGTTAGGTGTCTTGCTCAAGGGCACTTCAGTCACGTACTGTTGGCTCGGGGATCAAACCGGCGACCTTCTGTTCACAAGGGTGGTTCCCTAACCACTTTTAACTGTTCCACGGTCTCGTCTTAAACAGAAAGGGGATCTTTTGCTGTCGCCACACCCAGACTTTGGAATGGCCTCCCAAGTGACATTAGGCTCTGTGACTGGTTTTAAAAACAAGCTTAAAACACATTTATCGATTAGCATTCAGGAGCCGTTACACTGTGGATTAAGGACTGTACACTGCTGTGTGTATGGTGGTGGTGATCTGAAGGTGAAAATCCCTTTTTTGTGTTTTATTGTAAAGCACTTTGGTTTTAAATGTGCTATATATATAAAATTTACTTACTTACTACTTACCTTTATTACAACATCCATTCTTTTCAGGAGACTCACTTTCAGTTCCCCAAAGAATCTGCAGACACACCTCCAAAGTTCAGTCTTAGAAGTTGGTCGATAATTTTCTGAAGTAATCAAACACATTGAGTGACGTTGAGGTCTGGAGAACACCAGCAGCTTCTTTGTTTGATTTGCACATTTGCTTCTTTTTGTTTGGTAGCAGTGTTGTGTCTACAAGGTCTTCAGGTGGTTGTTTGGAGACCAATTTTCTCTGTAGCTTAAAATGATTTTTAACTCCAGTTTTGGAAACTCCTGAAAAGTAGTTCACTTGTTTTCCTTTGACTTTCTCCTTCCTTATGCAAGTGGATTATCTTATATCTAATGTCCTCAGAAATATCACCTGAAAAATTAATAACTTGTACTTAATTGCTGTTTTGATTGGAAATTAGGGTGGTCTCTGACTATTACACAGTACTTTAGATGGGTATTATTTTCTTGCATTCCCATAAATTGTTGTGTGTTCCACAGTAGAGCAGAACATTTCAAATAATGACATTTTTAAAGACTCTACTTTGGGATTTTCCTTATGATTTGATGGTCTAAATCTCTGAAGACAGTTCAGTCCAATTCTTTAGTCTTGTAGAAGCCTAGATGTGTTTCGCATTGCATTTGTATCCCACATATTCACCATAGTTTTACAGTAGCCTTGTCACATATGTATACATGGTGGTAGAAACAAATGAACATGGTCACCTCTTTACCATTTTGGGGGTGGGGGGTGTGAGTACACTGAAAAAAAGTTGTCCACACCAATGAAATATGTTACACAAGAACTTTAACATAGTAACTATGTTAATGTAACACATTTCATTCATGTTGAGCCAACATACACAATCTAAAGCAACTTTAAGAAGCTTTTTCCAGTTTAGGGAGGATGTATATTTTTGTTTGTGAATCAAACTTTTTTAAGTAAATTACCTCACTTGGACGTCCTTTATTGGTAATAATACAGTACGAACCTCCTTTACTCTTAGCAGCTTTTAGTTTCCTACACCTAGAAGTTGCTATAAGTCATTTTTGCACTGTTCACGTTTCCCCACAGGATATGGAGCTGATTTGTTTCTTTAACTCCTGAGAAGACATTTTAGAAAGGTCATTACTGACTCACGGATTAACCCCTTAAATGGCCAGGACTCACTGGTGGCCCAGAGTGTTACTACACACCTCTATAACCTAAGAATAACTCAGATAGCTTGCATTGTAGTCACGTTAGTTACTGAATAATAAGGCTTAGAATGTACCACCCTGGGATTTTAATCTGTTTTTTATGGTAGCAAATTTTACTAATACAAAAATAGGAGAGTATATTGGTTATATTATTGGTGCTTTATGGATTGAGAGTGAATGCAGCTTTGTGTGTTAAACTCTGGACTCTCTCAGAAAGAAAGGTCTAAGGGGGGGTACCCCTCTTGTCACTGGGGTGGGACCCTCAAGGGTTCATCTCAGTACCTTTAGTCAGGGAACGTAACTGAACCATAATCCACTGAAATGATATGTTCTAAGCTGTACTGACTCCACACACCCCGTCTCGTCTCCAGGCTTTTATTTTACTGTTCTGTTTAAAACATTCGGTTATGAAAAGGTACAAATACGAACTTTTCACCTGGAAAAACTTATTTAAGGTTCACAATCAGACCTTAAAACCACTGTTGTACCTTTGAGGGAACGTTTACACTGTTTGTACCTTGATGAATGAAAGATATACCTGAACAAAGCCTTTATTAATAACAGTGTAGATACTCATCTTTTTTATCATCTTTGATGATAGCTTTTCACGTTAAACCAAACCTTTATTTTTTTCTGTTGAATAATTGCACGATTAGTCTCTCAAGCCAGACTTCTGCCTATCTGGTGTGTTTTGTTGCTCAACATGGTGAAAGACTGGCTTATTTGGCAGGAAAGGCCTTTTGACTCGCATACAAAATAACCATCCACTTCTAAAGTTTTTGTGTGATGTGTGGTGACAGCGATTTTCCAAACATAACCAGACCCACTGAAAACAAAGTGGTATCAGCCAACATGTGAGGATATCTCACTTACTAGCTTCTAAATGCTTCAAAGAAGACTGCTGAATGAATCTTAAAGATACGATACCATGAACCGCACACAGGTTTTTCAATCCGGCTGCTATATCTCGCTCCAGAGGGACTCGTCACAGCGCATCTGCTCCCTTGGACCGATTAAAACCGGTGTACGGAAGTGCATATATATGGACATGAGGATAGACAATCAGAATGGAACCGACAAAATCCCAGGGGTCGTGGCCCGCTTAGCATGCAGTAGACGTCAGACGTCCGAGGCTGAGACTATTGCATAATTAACCTTGATAATATTGTGGAATCATGACTACACCCAGTTATTTCTCGTTTTTTTAGAGTCACATAACACAACGCCAAGACGTTTTTCATGCCGAATCATATTTCAGCTCATTTCCCCACATGCTAAACTAGCTCCGCTGCCAATGTGCACAAAAGTCCCAGGAGTTTGTAAGATATAAAGACCTGTTTTTAAGTGTGGAACAGTACATTAGCTCTGACTGCGCCTGAGAAAGAAGCACCTCTACCCTAAAAACATTCCTTTCGATGTTTTTAACTTCTGTGTTTTTTATTTTCAGGTCGAAGCATCAACATGAAATCCGCGGGGATCATTGGAAGGAGCGGGCCGCAGTCCAAGCAGCCTTTTCTTGTTGCTTTTTTCAAAGCCAGTGAAGTGTTGCTGCGCTCTGTAAGGGCCACTGGGGGCAAGAGGAAGAATCACAGCAGAAACAAAAGCAGAAGTCAACAGAAAACCTCACAGGCTCCCAGGAGTGGAGGTAGAGTTCTCTTACAGCCAGCGTCGAGGCAATAAATTCCACTGTGTCTGTGGAATACATATCGCACGCTTTTGCAAGCACAAAGCTTCTTCAGGCAACTTTGGCTCGTCTTAGTGGACTTTTTCTGTTATCGTATCAGTGTACCAGTTAACGCTTTTGAGGCTCCAGTTTCAGAGTCTTAAAACATGACGGAAGTCATTCTTTTAGCATGTAACTCATCTACTTGTCAAGCTTTCTGTGATTCAGTTGAGTGAGTAGGAACAGCCTTTAGTAGCAAGATCATATGATCTTTGGGGATATTTACCTAATTTCATTACTGGGTGAAGACCTTCTGGCAGCTGCAAATACAGAGGAAATGCCCATGAGGGTTGGCCACTGAGGCCCACCCATGCAGGAGTAGACTAAACAACATTAAACGACTATGCTAGCGTTTGAACACTGATGGTGGGTTTTTGTTGTTTTTATCTAGATCAAAACACCAGCGAACAGAAGCAAGCCTGCAAAAAGCACGAGCTCTACGTCAGCTTCCGCGACTTAGGATGGCAGGTATGGGGCGTGTATGGAAAAGTCAGAGGAATAAACAGAGGAAAAGCAAACAGATAACTCAAATTCCTGACTCAGACAGTTCTTTCATCTTTTCTTCTACCCTTTCTTCTTCTCTCTCTCTCTCTCTTTGCCATGTCAAGGACTGGATAATCGCGCCTGAGGGTTATGCAGCTTTTTACTGCGACGGAGAATGCTCGTTCCCACTCAATGCACATATGAATGCAACAAATCATGCAATTGTACAGACTTTGGTGAGTGTGCATTGACTGTTTAATGCGTTGCTTTCAGGTATGCACAGTCAGAATTGGCCTAAGATTGGAATCGGCCCAGTTTTGCTCCAAACACACAACCAGCAATTGCACAGTTTATTATTTTCATTTTGTTTGATGTGAGTTGCAATTTTACCTTCATTTATTTAATTTCCAGTCAAAACAGCCATTAAGGATTTTCAGGAGAGATTAGATGTAAAATAATACATTCACATATGGAAGGAGAAAGTCAAATGAATATAAGGGAAGATTATTTTAAAAAAGGAGTTTCAAAAAATGATTAAAAGCTACAGAGAAAATGGGGCTCCTAACAACCACCTGGAAGAGCTGGTCGACCCCAAAACTGCCCCCATCTGATAAACAGCACTTAAAGCTTTCATCTCTGAGAGAGAGGAGAAAATCAAGCTGCTTCAGATCTGAAAACATCCACAGGTGTTTCTGTCCATCCTTCCACTGTGAGAAGACGACTCAGCGCTGTGGGTCTGAAAGGATGTGTAGCTGTCAAGAAGAACCTCACTGAGAAAAGGAGACGGACACATCAAACAAAGAAGCTGAACGATGGACTGACCACCCCAGAGTCCAGACCTCAACACCACTGAATGTGTTTGATTACTTCAGAAAATGATCAACCAGCTTCTAAGACTGAACTTTGGAGGTGTGTCTGCAGATTCTTTGAGGCACTGAAAGTGAGTCTCCTGAAGAGAACGGAAGCTGGAATAAAGGTTAAAAGAGTGGAGACACTAAATACAGAAAAAAATAGTTATGTTTTTTTGTATTTTTCTTTTATACTGGTTGCCTGTTTTTTCGTGACACTCAAAAATGAATAATAGGCACTTGATGATTGTTTTGGCTGGAAATTAAATATATGAATGGTGGTCTCTGACTTTTGAACAGTACTATATATTGTGACTTTGGCTTGTAGAAAGTTCTGGAAATGTTCTAGTGTGCTTCATGTGTTCATTTAGCCTGCTCAGTGTGAGCTTTGAGTTAACCCTTGTGTGGTGTTCAGGTCTGGGGGACCCCTTTTTTCAATGTTTACCAGAAGAAAAAATGATGAGATTTATTATTATTTCAACCTCAGATTCTTGTTCTTTGCTCATTTTCTGTAAAGAACATATAAAATAACCCATTTTCAGTGTCTTCACTCTGTTCACCCCCCACACATTTATTTTACACATGTGGTGTTGGGCTGAACCCGCGGGGAGTAAAAGTGTGGAGGTGCTGTGTCCTTCACTCTGTTCTCCTCCTACATGGCCTGCTGTTAGTGTGTGTGTGTGTGTGTGTGTGTGTGTGTGTGTGTGTGTGACGGTGGATAACATGGACAGGCTGCTGACTGGCTACAGCTGCTAAAGGAGAACCCTACGCTGGACACTTGTGACATTTTAAACATCTGGTATTTTTACATAAATTGTTATGTCTGTATTGATTTAAAGAAACAATAATGTGGTGGGTCCACCAGACCACTGAGTAACAAACACATCAGCACCACACAAGGGTTAAAAACAAGGCTCAAAAATGTTGAACGAAAAATTGGCCAATTTGGCAGCAAAGAAATCAGAATGTGCCGTGAAAATTCATGAACAGTGCGTCCCTAGTTGTAAATGGCTTACAGACACACAATTATATGCTACTTGTGCAGCTATTAAGCAAACGTTCCTGTATTTCCATCTAATTATGTGCTTGTTTTTGTCTGTTCTAATCCCAGGTCCACCTTATGTTCCCTGATAATGTGCCAAAACCCTGCTGTGCCCCAACCAAGCTGAACGCTATATCTGTGCTCTACTTTGATGACAGCTCAAACGTCATTCTGAAGAAATACCGTAACATGGTAGTCAGGTCTTGTGGGTGCCACTGAGGGTAAACCGCACCCAGTTTTGGGAGCATGTTTTGCAGGCACAGAATAAGCCTAGTCTTGGGCTAAATTACATTGCCACTGGGGATTATCCATTGAATCATTTTGAATCTAGGACTCTGGAATAATCTGTGCCTGTAAAACCTACCATGTTGGTGATATGGCTGGAATCAAATCCATACTCTCCTAGTAGATAGTTTTGACATTTGATGTACAGTGTTATGTATATATTAGCTCATGAATGCTCTTATTTATTTGCCTTTAACTGTTCCAATAGAAGGTATGTAGAAAGTTACCACTTGCAGATACACGTCTGATGCTGAGGACCGGTTTCCCAGACCTAGATTAAGCCTAGTTATAAAACGGATAGTTCCGGTCCTAAAATCTGATTGGCTGATATATGCACACCTTTGACCGCCTCACAGCAACTGAACTCTGTATCACTGTATCATCTTTGCCTCTAATGCTGCTCCCAGGAACCACAGACAAAGTAAGAACCTGCTTTTTGTTCAAACTGAGCGGCTGGCAGCTTATGTTCTTAACTAAAACCAGACTGGTCAGCCAGCTAACAGGCTACAAGATAGCTATTAGCCTAAACAACTCCGTTATTAATATCACAGGTTAGAATTAAAGTACATACAATATGATTCACTGTAAAAGGGCATTTTAAAACACTCTAGAATGTGACTTGAATGACTTACACGCTTCAAATATCCATGTATAGACTGACTGAAACACATGTGTGTGTTTGCAGGCTGAATCCCAAATGGCTCCGTACTCCCTAAATAGTGTGCTAGCTATGAAAGTTTCAAAATTCTAGCCTCTACAGCCAAATAGTGCATCATTTATCCAGCTTGGATGTGTCTGAGTCCCAAATAACTACTTTTTAGCTATATTATTCACTGTAGTGGTGCAGGAACTGGTATTTAAAGTCCTACGTAGTCCACTATGTGTAGCCATTTGAGATTCAGCCCCAGCATGAGAAGAGGGCACCACTGGATTGGTGCTAAATAAGACTTGCAGTGGTAATTTGGTGACCAAAAAGTTCTTATAAAGTGAAATGTTTTGCGTTAAACAGTGCTGTTTTATCATATGTTCATTGTTATACGACAAAAAGTTGAAAAGTTCATGAAATGACCGCAGTATACAGCGAAGGGTGACCGAACGTTCTCCTCATTCTGCGGTCCATGGTTGCTTGGCAATGACACCCATACGCTTAAGGAACTACATTTCTTGGCGGAATACTTGTTTATGGCGATTATTATTAATAATAAGTTCTGAAAAAGTGTGTATTTTATCATAGTTTATATTGGCCGCTGCTTCGCGTCGTGCCTAATAACACCCTTCCCCGTGATGAAATTGCAGTAACACACAGCCTCTTGTGGCTTATTGCTTTAATCGAGACTAAAAATAATTTACAATAGTGATTTACCATTGGCACTGCAGTTTAGTCCAAGACTAGGCTTAATCCATGTTTGGGAAACCTGATCTTTCCTGAGGATTTGTCTAATATACGAGGCCAGTACAGCAAGCAATATCTATCATGGTTTCAACAATGTCCAGTGATCTTTTGATTTCAGATCATTGTCAGTTTATTAGAGACCACTCAAATAAGGCAGCGCTGCTATTTTAAGATATGAAAATATGCAAAATTGTATTCAGTCATTGTAACTTTGGATTACGGCACAATTAGCTGGTTTGCTCATTGATAAGAAGCTAAAATGAACCTGTTCTCATGTGGCTCAGGATTATGTCGTAGAATTATGATCATCGGATATGATCGTGTGCTGAGATAGAACTGACCCCCCCTTCCTTCCACCACCACCACCCTCTAGAGTCACTTTATATCAGTTGAGATACCAGTGAATGCATATGCCTCTGGAAAACCTGGGGAAGATTTGAGGTGATAGTCTTCCAAGATGCTCCTGACTTTCTTATACATTTACATTAGTAATTTGAGTAATATATTTTTGGAAAGTATTTCATTTACTGTATTAGAACAACGTTTATGTGTCAGTAAATATATTTTCAAATAACGGCTTGTCTTCTTTTTCCTTTATTCCATATTATCAAGACTTTAAAGTTTCTCCGTTGTGGTGGGTGCTGGTCCTCACCGTAAACGGAGGCGCTCTGTTGCAAATTGTAAAACTGATAGCAAAGAAAGTAGCTGACTTCTTGTTTATTTTACATAATCTATTGTGAAAACACTGAATGAAGCAGTTTGGTTTGCTTATATCAGCCTTTGTCAATCTCCCATTAGACATATTTCAAACACGTTCAGGACAGAACAATTAATTTATGCTAAAAACAAAGGCTCCTATGAAAATGTTTGAATTAGTATGCAACATTAAGTCATGTGAAGGTTCTCTAACCTTTAAAAAGGTTCCTCTGTCTTGCAAATCTATCAGAACCATACATTGAAAGGTTAACTAAAAGTGGCTCCTCTGTGGTGTCACTCCAAAGAACCCACTCCAAAGTGTCACTCCAAAGTTTGAGAGGAGACTGTATGGATGTAGGAGGAAACTTGAGCTTGGGCTGAGGTTCTGTGTTAACTCCATACATAGCCAGGGCCAGCCGGCAGGCCCAAAGTGCTATTACACACTTCAATAACCTAAGAATAGCTCAACCAGTTTGTGTCTGAAGTCCCTTTAGTTACTGAATAATAAGCCTTAGTATGTAATAAGTCTGGGATTCTAAAGAGTTAATCTAGAACAGAGGTCTTTAATTAAAATTCAGGGTCCAGTTAGAGAAAATCTCCTCAAGCGAAGGTCCAGAACATCATAATGTCTGACTTGCATTATGATTCAGTGCCATATACTGTTTACTGAAGTAGCCTAGTAGGTATATCAACATCTTATACAGTCAACAACTGAATATCAAATCAAGTAAAGTAAAATTCAATCATATTTCAACAACATTTCACTTTTCTCTTTTTAGAGCACAGCAGGTAAAATAATCTGGCTCATTTTCTTCTCCGACTGCTGTGTCTCTCCTCGTACCTCAGTAGCGTCACGTGTGATATTTACAATGTGATTGGTCTGTGAGTCTCTGGCCACTAAAGCCATGCCGTAAATGCTAGAACAGTTACGCCGATTAAAATAGGACCACCCCAACAAAATGAAATAATTCTCCATAGTTTATCGGTTATAGGTCCAGGTCCGCATAGGACAGCGTCTGGGTCTGGACTCGGACCGCGGTCCCACCTATTAGTGACTTCTGATCTAGAAAGTTGCCCTTGAGGTGGGATTGAGAGATAGGACTGAGAGACAGGTAGGAGGTGGATGGGATGGTGGCGGGGTGTGAGAACTCCATCATGGGAAACAGAAGGTAGAGATGGAAATTTCTAGGATGTTTGGAATCAGTTGGAGCTTCAGTGCATGGTTCACTGTTCACTTATTCCATAACTCAGCCTTTAGCACCTTTACAGTACTGTGCACCTGTACAGTACTGAGGCTTTTTCTCCTGATAAATGAATACAGTACTGTATGTTTAGGTATGTATTTACATTAATTGGGTGCATTTACATGCAGTTAATAATGCAGTCATAATCAGATTTCTGTGTTTATCTGATTATTTAAATGCTTGTTTAAACAGCATACTCCGATTTCTTAGATTAGAGTAAGGGCTAGAAATCCGATTAAGAAATCTGATAAAGAGAGCTGGATTTTAGCTCAGTAATCAGATTTCTGAGTGCATGTAAACTCTTACTCTGATTTCTTTCTGATTTCTCAGTCTGCACATGTGTGAAAACAGACGGCGGTACCGGAAATAAGCAAACAGCGTTTAACACAGCGCCCCGGAGCGACGCTGAAACCCAAAACATGCTTGACAAACTGAAGGATTTAAATAGTTTGATCTTCTAGATGATGTGTGTTCATATTTTCAGGTTAAGTGAAGTAAGTTTTACGTTATATTTACGTCTCGTCTTCTTCTGTGAGTTTATTGGCTGGTTGCAAAGCAGAAATCTGATTACTGTCTGACTCCTGTAGACCTGGAGTTTCCCCATTATCTGTGCATGTAAGCATATGGATTACTGACAAAATCAGATTTTCTGCAGTTATCGGATGATTAAGTGCATATAAACACACTCATTGTCTCATCGTCTCTTAGTTGACCTGGGTAAACATTTCTAAAAGGGCTTGGCATCAAATCCGGCTGGAGTTTAGGGATTAATGTGTGTTTATGCTACTGTGCTGGCTCATTCTGATTGGTCTGTCTGAGACAGGTACCCTTTTCTGGGCCCTTGACGTCTTTCTTTAGTGTCATCACTTTTTTCGTGGCCTGTCGGAAAGTCGAGTGACTGTATTTCACGTAATTAAAAGCAGCGGCGGGGGCCGTCCAGATGTTTTGCAGACGGGACCTAAAAAAGAACGTTAACGTGGGATGAATAGAGGAGGCCACCTGCTAACTTAACTTCTGGCGACGCGGATGATTTGCATTCCTGCGGCCTGCTGCCCTGTATGATTACTCCTGCCACTTCACAATCCCATCTACTGTTTAATATCGTGGATTCCTTCCAATTCTGCTAAATGTCTTCCTTTCTGCAACACCAGGGTCCGGATGAATGGGCTCCTATTTGAAGCGATTCTCTGCCAGGGAGCGGACCTCTTAGCCCTAAGCCCCGCGGCCACATGAAAGCGTGAGAGGGAACAGTCGCCGTACTGAAGGTGGATTGATATAGTGGCCTGTATCCTCAGGGGAGACGTCCTCCACACGCAGACGTAGGGCTAGAACAAGGTCCTGAAGTGAGTCAGCGATGGTCTGACACCCATTTCGTCTCCTCTCCCTCGCACTCGCGCTCAAATGGCAGCTTCTCTAAACAGCTGTTAAGCTTCTCAGGAAAGTCAATGTGAAGTAGTATTTGGATTTGGGGTTTCTTAAGCCATAACACCAGGGGACATTGCCTGGTAAATTACACAGTGTTGGGCCTGTGCTCCGTAAATCATGCTTTTTTTTTTCTTTCTTTTTTTTTTAACCTTGAATCGAGGCTCTGTTCCTGCTCTTTGACTTCATTGTGCTTTATGAACTTCACCTACTTTTCGATATGTATGTTACACTGGGTCACTTGCCAGAACTCTTTCTTAGACACCCCCCCCCTACAACCACATTGTGACCATGAAAAAAACCTGACATGCTTGAACTGAATCCATGACCCATGCTGGAAACCTCACTGCTCAATTCCTTTTCACTTTCAGCTGCCAGTTTTGACTTTAAGCACTCACAGCCATGCATGTTAAAGAGAAACTCCACCAATTTTTCAAAAATATTCTCTTAATTCAGTGCTTGAGATGTAAACAAAGTCATTCAGGGTGGTTTGGTGTGAAATGGTTCATTGTAGAGAAACTTACTGACTCAGATTTCTTTGCAGTGGTGGTGATAGGAACCAGGGGTCATGATGATTACAGCATAAATGTAGCCACTCTATTTCCTATGAAAATGGCTGGTGAGCATGTCTTCTAGCTTTGTATATGTAATTGTTGATATGGTAAAAGCAAAGAAAAAGAAATGACACCACGCATGTACCTCTCTGCCATTAAAAGATTTAAAGAGATAAGTTTTAGGCCACAACCTAAAATCTCAAAACTGTCCTAAAACAATGTATGATGGAACTTAACTTAACTTAACTTAACTTAACTTAACTTAACTTAACTTAACTTAACTTAACTTAACTTCATAACCATTTCCTGTAAACTTTTTCACATGAAGTAAGCTTTTAGAGGCATTAACTCTTCAGATGTCTGGTTCCTATCACCACCAACGTGAAGTATTGACATGATAAGTTTCCCTAGAACTCTATTGCAGAGTGCTGTAGATTGTTCTAGAACCTTTTTAAAAATGGTTCTATATAGTGCCAAAAAGGGATCTGCTTTTGTAACAGTAGAAGAACCCTTTTTGGCACTGTATAGAACCCATTTCAAAAAGATTCCGCATAGAACCATGCAAAGAAGCATTTAATCATGCGAAGGGTTCTTTGAGTGTTTATGGTTCTATATAGAACCACTTTCTTTACTAAAGAAACTTCTTTTCAACGTGCATTTAAAAAAAGTTCTTCAAGGGTTCTTTGTTAAAGGCAAGAGTTCTATATAGAACCATGTCATGCTTTAATTGTTCTTTGCATGGTAAAATGGTTCTTCATATTTATGCAGAACATGTTGTCTTTTTAGCACCCAAAAGGGTTCTGCTGCTGTTATGATGTCAAGCTTGTAACAACAGAAGAACCCTTTTGGTGTTATATAGAACCATTGTCAAAAAGGTTCTATGTAGAACCATATGCAACACATTCTCCATCAATCCGAAGAACAATTTTACCAAAGGACCTTTGAAGAACCATCTTTTTAAAGTGTGTACAGGATCAGCCAAAGAACACCATCAGTGATGTGTATCAGTTCATTAGGTTCCCTAAAGAGAGGCCTGTTTCTGTTATTCTGCTCATGAACTGTGGAACTTGTTACCTTTCACAGAGAGTCAGGTTCTGTGTGCATATTGTGACTCAGAACTATAAGGTCTAAATGGTTCATCTCAACCATTTATTTATGTAGCAATTGGTGTAATGCCCCTTATAGATATAGATATAGATACGGCCCAAAACCACTTTTTAAGTTTCTTTTCTAATACCGATATTGAAACCTTGAGTATCGGCCCATACCGATACCCATCCGATATTTCTTCTTTCAAAACTACTATGCTTTTAAAAGAGCTACTTTTAAATAAAACATTTTTCTTTGGATTGGATTGGAACCCCCGCCCTACCCCTGATATCTCATCAGACATTATCTACTGATCAGGTTATAAGCATGCATGACGTGAGTATCCTTTACTAAATGTTGCTAAAGTTTGTATGATGCTTATTAGTCATGTACTTAAGTTAGTTTCCCTTCGGCAGACGCAGTTTAGATAGCGGTTTTAGTGAGTTGTTTGTTTCTAGCTGCTGTGATCAGCGCTGGGCCAATAGCATTTTGTTTACATCTTTACGTAATAGTTTGAGTGGATAATGTTACTGTGAAGTTCAATCTTGGGGAATTTTAAATTAAACATA